CAGGGCTTCCCTGGTAGCTCAGAGGGTAAAGCGTCTGCCTGCAATGCGGGAGACCTGGGTTCAATCTCTGGGTCAGGAAGATCTCCTGGAGAAGGAAATGGCAACCCACTCCAGTATTCTTGCCTGGAAAATCCCATGGATGGAGGAGCCTAGTAGGCTACAGTCCACAGAGTCGCAAAGAGTTGGACACGATTGAGTGACTTCACTTTCTTTTTTTTTTTTTAAAGATGTTGTGTGTCCTTCGCAGGGTTTAAGGCAGGAATGTATAACATCTAGTTGATGTTTGAAAATACCACTCTGGCTGCCGTGTCTAGAATGGACTGCAGGAAGAAAAGGGTGGGAGCACAGAAACCAGAGAGGTGGCCATTGCAATTGTCTGGGCAAGAGGTGATGGTGGTTAGGATTAGGATGATGGAGGTGGAGAGGATTGGGAAGATTCAGTAGATATTTTACAATGAAAAATGACTGATCTTGGTGATGAATTTGTTGTGGACTGGAAACTTGAGGGTAGGCTCCTCACCTCCAGGAAGCTTCTGGATCTGGTAGGTGTTGACTTCCCCTGGTGAAGGTCCTGTCTTCAACACCAGGACCTGTCTGGGATCATGTCCTATGACCAGGAAACTCTGGGGGAAGGGAGACAAAGATCAGCTCGACGAGAAATTCTGCAGAAGTCTATTACTATTTCCTGCCTAGTATCCATTTCCTTTATTTTGGGTCCCACACCCCAAATTTCCTTTAGAAAACTCTATTCCACTCTCTACTGTAGGTCCTGCAGGTGGGACTAACTCTCCCAAGAGCCGTAAGGGTGGGTCCATGACCTGACCTAGCCAATAGGATTTAGTGTTCTCTGACCACTGTGGTTGGTTCAGAGATGGGCATGTGAACCAAACCCAGCCAATGGAAATCTCCCCACAGGAGCTCTTTAGAAAGAGACCTCTTTTTACACTGGGGTTGCTAACTTGGTGAGATGTGGCCCTGTGCTTGGGCCAGCCATCTAGAGTTGCTTTATCCAAATCTATTCCCTATTCCTTGAAGAACTCTAGCTTTGTTCAGGGCATTAACAGGCCCAGCCATAGGGATAGGTAGTGATCAGTGTAGGCACTGGTTCTCACCTCTGGCTGCATAACTCCCAGGAAGGCTTTTATTTTTTGTTTGTTTGCTTTTGGGCTGCACAGCATGGCTTGTAGAATGTTAGTTCCTCCACCAGGGATCAAACCCGAGCTCTCAGCAGTGAAAGCTCGGAGTCCTAACCACTGGACTGCCAGGGAGTCCTTTCCAGGTGAACTTTTAAAAACTATTGCTACCTGAGCCTTGTCTGTATATTCTGAATCAATTGTGAAGGCTTTTGTTTTTGCTGGTAAAAGGAAAAAATGCAACTGGTGCCTCCTTTCTTCCTTCCTCCTGCTTGGAATGCACACATGTGCTTGGGTCTGGGGCAGCCACTGGGCGACCATAAGGGAAATCTAGGAGAACTGCTGAGATGTCCTTGATGTCATTTGAGGAGCAGAACTAGAGCCTGCAGCTGTCTTTCTGGTTACGTTAGAACGATAAATGCCTACTTATCAACATATTGAGGAACAAGTGTTTATTTGCATTGCAAAATGTTTAGAATTCCCCAACGTTTCAAGTAAAACCAAGGAATTCCCCGGAGGTCCAGTGTTAGGACTCTGCACTTCCATTGCTGGGGGCACTGGTTCAAGCCTTGGTCAGAAAATTAAGATCTCAGAAGCTGTGCGTGTGGTTAAAAAAAAATATATATATAAATAGTCTGATGTTCAAGATCCAGACATCCCTAAATTTACTTTTACTTCTGGACTTTGTGTGCTTCCCTGATGGTTCAGCTGGTAAAGAATCTGCTTATAATGCAGGAGACCCGAGTTCGATCCCCGGGAAGATCCCTTGGAGAAGGGAATGACTACGCACTCCAGTATGCTTGCCTGGAAAATCCCAAAGACAGAGGAGCCTGGCAGGTTACAGTCCATGGGGTCGCAGAGAGTCGGACATGACTGAACGACTACCACTTTCACTTTCACTGGTCTTTTCAGTCATGCGAGTCGATAGGCAGGGTTTCGGTTTGCCTGGTTTTGTGTTGTGCTTGCCACTGGCAACCGGCAGGGTCCTAACTGGTTCAGGTGTCATGGAGAGGGTCAGAGAGGGTGCCTAGGGGAGAGTACTTACCCCTGGTGGCCACAGGTCCAGAAGGGCTTTCGCACTGTGGGCATCCAGCTCTGGGATCTGCCACACCCCCCATGTCCTCTGAAGGCGAAGGAGTGACTCTGGGGTCCCCAGGACCCTTAAGGGGGTCTCACCAGCTCCATTCCCCTGTGATGGGATTAGTCTGGGACAGGCAGGGACCAGGAGACCAGGGGACAGAGGAAGGCAGTTGGACACTGAGATGGGGTCAGAGGTACAGGAAGGGGAAGCCCGGGCGCAAAGGATCAGAGATGGGGTTCTGGGTCCTGTCTGGGGGTGGATGGGACTTGGATGGAAGAGGCTTCTGAATCCAGGGAGGTGGAGACAGCCTCAGAAACTCTCACCTCTCCCGGTCTGTGGGGCCTGCTGAGGCCTTGTCCTCTGGCTGGGCCGTCATCCTCAGGATGCAGGAGGCCAGGGAGCCATGGTCTGGCCTCTGGCAGGGAGGAAGGTATGTCTCAAGGCTGTTCCAGCCCAGGGGTAATGTTCTAAATATTTACAACCCACATGCCAGAGACCTTTACCAACCAGGATGGACTTGAGACCCCTCACTGTGCCAGGTGTTAATTCTTCAGTTCCTGGGTGGTGGGGAGATCTGGAGATCCTAGCAGGGAGGTTGGTATGGGGAGAGGGAGGGGAATGTAGGGGGAAAGGAAGAGGACTCAAAATGGCAGCTATTTACCAAGTGGTAGGTATTTATTTAGGGAAGCCCAGGTACTTAGCTCTAAAGAATCTGCCTGCCAATGCAGGAGAAGCGGATTTGATGGACCTGAGTCAGGCTGATCCCCTGGAGAATGAAATGGCAACCCACTTCAGTATTCTTTTAATTAAAAAGAAATATTTACTTGGCTGCACCAGGTCTCATTTGTGGGATGTGGGATCTTCAATGTTTGCTGCAGCCTGCAGCTTCTTCAGTTGTGGCATGTAGGATCTAGTTCCCTGACCAGGGATCAAACATGGACTGCCTGCGTTGGGAGCATGCAGTCCTAGCTACTGGACCACCAGGGAAGTCCCCCACTCCAGGATTCTTCCCTGGGAAATCCCATGGACAGAGGAGCCTACAGTCCATAGGATCACAAAAGAGTTGGACAGGACTTAGTGACTAAACAACAATAACAGGGTAATATTTTATATTTTAACATCCAGTGACGCCTTATGAAAGTGGACCAGATGAATAACAACCATTGTCAAAACCCAGGGCCTAGAAAAAGGCTCTGCCCATTGTAGACACTCTGTAAATGTGATAAATGTTATACGATGTCTCTTCTTCCTCCCTTCCCTGATCATAAAGGGGCCTTCAAATATTTTCTCCCAAGGTTTTATCATGAGAGATCTCAAACAGAAAAATTAAAATAGGAGCTTCCCTGGTGGTCCAGTGGTTAAGAATCTGCCTTCAAATGCAGGGGATTCAGCCTTCATCCCTGGTCTGGAAACTAAGACCCCACATGAAAGTGAAAGTGTTAGTCGCTCAGTCGTGTGGGACTCTGCGACCCCATAGGCTGTCGCCCGCCAAAGCCTCCTCTGTCCATGGGATTTCCCAGGCAAGAATCCTGGAGTGGGTTGCCATTCCCTTCTCCAGGGGATCTTCCCCACTCAGGGATCGAATGTGGGTCTCCCACATTGCAGGTAGACTCTTTACCTTCTGGGCCACCAGGGAAGCCCAAGATACCATGCTGCAGAGCAAGTAAGCCCATGCCTGCTGCAAATACTGAGCCCCGGAGTTGTAGACCACGCTCCATAACAAGAAGCCCTCATGCCCAAAGACCCAATGCAGCCAAAATAAGCAAATTAAAAAAAAAAAAAAAACTGAAATGATTTTACAGGGAACATCTATATACCCACTACCTAGATTCTACTATTGACATTTATTCTTTTTGCTTTGTCACACATCTGTCCCTCTAGCCACTGGATCCCAACTCTTAACCAGGTATAGCTTCCTATGGTGGGCTATCAATTAAGGAGGGCATTCTAAAATATTTTCCTTGCAGCAGTCCCAGAGCAGGGATCCTAGGTCCTTCCATCTATCTATCCATGTGCCCATACATCCAACAAATATTTACTGAAGTACAGGACCACAATTAGGTGCCTGGGGAAAGGGTGATGGGCAGAATAGGCCCCTGCTCCCAGGGGCTTCCCTTCTTCTTGGGGTGGGTATAAGGGATGGATAATCAATAGCTAAACCAATCCATCAGCTCACTGTCCAGAAGTCCAGGGTGTTAGGAAGTGGGGGACAGAAAGCAGGTGCCCTGCCTAGGGGAGAGCAGGCAGGAGGGGTGGGGAGAGGGAGGCAGAGGCTTGCCTGGCCCCCATGAGAAAGGCAGGAGATGAGGGGTGCTGGGCAGGGTGTGATTGGGGCAGCTGCCTAATACCACAGGGAGGCTGTGGGTCAGTCTAGCGGAGGGGGGTGATGATGCCAGCTGCTCGGTCCCCTGGGGGCCCCTACCTGTTCTCCGAGGGGAGGCCTGAAGTAGCAGGAAGTGAAAGTTCCTCAGAGAGAGAGGAAGCTGAGCTGGCAGGGGAAGAGGCGGGGCTGGGGGGATCTGAAATGGACCCTCCTCCTTCTCTGTGGGGGCTCAGGCCTTAGGTGACCCGGCTTTGGAAGGAGGGACTCTGGCAGGTGTCTGGGAGTCCAGGGGTAACAGCCAGGACAGGAGGCTCCCACGGCCCCAGGAGTGCTCTCTCGGCACCTTTCAGCACTCTTCACCCTGCTTCTCATGATGGTTTCCTTAGCGGCCAGAGATCTAACCCCCTTCCTCCGGCAGCTTCCCTCTGGGCCCCAGAAAAGAACAGTGAGGCCAGACAGCTAATCGGTAGTTGTTTTTTGTTTTTAATTCGTCTCTAATAAGCAACACCATCTGCCCACCCCTGCATGGGAAGTGGGACCCAAGAGAGGAGGCCTAGCACCCACTTTTCAGAGTTGGAGGCAGAGGCCTGGGAGGCCTTGAGGCTCGGATCTCCCCACTGGGTGCGTAGAGGGCACAACCCCCCAACCAGGATAGGTTAGGTTTCAGCTACTTGGCCACGGACCCTTGGGAGCAGTAGAGAGTGTGTGGGCCCTGGGGCTCTTGTCCTGGGACAGTTAGCAGTTTGGAGGTACCCCTGGCCCCCTGAGCAGTTAGAGATTAGGGGGGCTGATCCTTGGCCATAGGGGTGGTTAGAGGCTGTGGGCTGTTAGAGACAGGCTGCCCAAGCCTCCGCCGCCAAGAATGTTAGAGATTTGATGAGGTCAGGGGTGCTGGGACACCAGTTTTGGGAGAGAATCGTTAATACACTGAGGAAATGTTCTGAGCTCCCCAGAAAAGAGCTGTAAGTTAGAGGAGGGCCAGGGCTGGTTGGGGCCAGCTGTCCCAAGGCTGGGCGTCCTGCCTGGGAGATGCAATGGTCACTGGGGTTTCTCTCCCTCAGTGGTCCTGGCCTCGTCCTTGGTGGGAGGTGGTGGAGAATTCCTGGGGGAAGCTGAAGTAGTGGGGTTGGGGGCCCCCGACCCCGACTGGGCATCTATGCTGGCATGCTCCTTCCGAACAAGGTCCTCCAGCTCCTTCTGCAGGGGGCAAAGTTCACAGAGGTCAGAGGTCATCATGCATCATTGGGTCAGAGGACCTGTGGGAGGGGGATCCAAGGACTAGGCTCGGGGTGAGCTGGGGTGATAGCTCCTCACCTTCCATCCGAGGAGGTCGGCAAGGGCTAGGCAGCCCTGGTCACAGTCGCCCAGCCAGGCCACGTCCCTGATGGCGAGGGAAGAGTCAAAGCTCCCAGGCTTGTCCCAGCACCAGTGGCTCTGCCTGTCCTTTGCTGCCATGCCTTTCCTCCCACCTGGGCCCCGTCCCTCCCCGGCCCCACCTCACCCCGCTGCAGGCCCAGGCCTCACCTGTAGGCCTTCTTGGAGTCAAAGTCCATGCCTCCTCCGAGGGCCATCATCATCCCAAGGAAAGGGTCAGTCTGTGGGGGAGGGGGAGCTAAGAGCACAGACCCTGGAGCCAGGGGGCCTGGGTTTGAACCCCAGCTCTGTGACTTTGCTCAAGTGGCCTGGCCTCTCTGGACCTCAGCCTCCTTCTCTGTGGGGTGGGGGTAATCACCACACCCACTCCGAGGACGATACTGTCAGTGGGTTAATGCAGAGAAAATGCTGAGCAGAGTATATGCCACACAGTGTGTTTTTCGCCTGCTGGAGGAAACAGCTTTCCCAGGGAGGGAGCCCCTGCCTGGCACAGAGGTCACCTCAGTTTGAAAAGAGAGCTGAGAGACGGCACGGTGACTCCTGACGGCTCTGCTCCCGGCCTGGGGGCCAGCGAGCCCAGACTCTCAGTCACGGGAAGCTCAAGGTTCCTGTTTTGGCTTAAGTTGCTCTGAGCTGGGGTTCTATCATCCCCTCTTAAAAGGGTGAATGGGACTTCCCTGGCGGTCCAGTGGTTAAGAATCCGCCTGACGGCCCCCCAGCAGCCCCCCACGGCCCCAGCCCCCAACCTACTTGCCGATGAGGGACGCAAAGGGCTGCACCTGCAGGGAGGTGCCCATGATGATAAGGAGGTCCACCTTCAGGAAGTCCTACGAAGCAGGAGCGGTCAGTGAGGTCAGTTGCCAGCCCCTGTCCCCCACTGCAAGCCCACCCGCAGCTACTTGGGGAAGCCACCTGCTGCAGGGCAGGACTTAGGCTGCCCCTGCGTGGGCCGAGATGGAGCGGCTGGGACACTTACTGACTGCATGCAGGAGAAGAAACGCGCTGGGAGGTTCTCGCCGAAGAACACGATATCTGAGGGGGAGACAGATGAACAGACAGACATGGGGACAGAAAGAGATGGTGAAAAAGTGGGGGACAGAGACAGGGAGGGGGAGAGAGAATGGGCAGGAGCAGAAGGCGGACCCCAGGGCTGGGGTGGGAGTGTGGATGCGGCAGTGGGAAATAGGCCGGGGGCTACGGCACCCTCACCCCTAGTCAGGGAGAGAGGGTGACCAGGGTGGAGTGGATGGATAGGGAGCATGGCCTTCTTGGGAAGGGGTTAGCGGGTGTGCAGGGTCCCAGCCCAGATCTACCTCAGTTGGTCCCAGGCCCCAAGGCTCACCAGGCTTCACCAAGCTCTGACATTTCTCACACTTGGGAGTCACCTCGGAGAAGATCTTCTCTGGGTGTGGGGAAGGGGAGGAAGAGGAAGAGGTAAGAGGCACTGGGCGAGGCTGCAGCCTGCCCATGCCACCCCCTTCATTGTCAATACAAACACATCTCAATCATGGGGGAGCCTCCTGGGGCGTTTGCCCTGCCCAGGAAAGACCTCCTCCCAGCACCAGCCTACAGCCATTACATGAAAGAACAAACAAATAAACAGACACGTCCCAAAAGGGGCAACTGGGTTCCATCAACCCCCAACTTGGGGAATCTGGACTTGGGAGTGAAGTTCTTCCCATGGGTCTTTTTTTTTTCTTTTTAAATTTTATTTATTTATTTTTGGCTGTGCTGGGTCTTCATTGCTACATGGGCTTTCCTCTAGTTTTTGCGAGCGGGGGCTACTCTCTAGTAGTGGTGCACGAGCTTCTCATTGAGGTGGCTTTTCTTGTTTTGGAGCATGGGCTCTAGGACACACAGGTTTCAGTAGCTGAGGCTGCCAGACTCTGGAGCACAGGCTCAATAGCTGTGGCGCACACATGGGCTTAGCTGCTCCACAGCACGTGGGATCTTCCCGGATCAGAGATCAAACCTGTGTCTCCTGCGCTGGCAGATGGATTCTTTACTACTGAGCCACCGGGGAAGCCCTTCCCGTGGGTCCGTGAGGGCAGCCCTACTTCCATCACGGGTCAGGTCAGAGAGACCTGGTGGGTGCCAGGTCAGTGGCATAGAGGGAAGAATTATGCAGATAATCCTGGGATGGGGACAAAAACTTAGGTCCAGGTGCTTCCCACTCTTAGGCTCAGTGACAGACCCCCTTCCCACACCACACACCATGCTATGACAATCCTCCTCCTCATTGCTTATTAATTAGAGCTGTAAAGGCCTCTGTCACTTGCAACCCACAGAATCCTAGCTTGTTCATTCAAATATTCACTCGCTCCTTCAACAAATATTTATAGAGCACTGAGTTAAGGTCTGCCATTTACTTTAAAATATTTCTGCATTGACAGCTCAAGATGTTTTGTGGGTGATGCTTGTGTTACTGCTGCAAGGGACACATAAAGGGATAATGTTAATTGTACATGACCCCCAGTTGCCCGCACTTGGGCCATTCAGGAACCCTTGCCCCAGGGGCGGTCAGCTGGCATTTTGTCAGAAGGGCTACACTCCAAAAGCCCTACTATCAGCACTGCAGCTGTCCTTGTCCCAAATGGACACCAGAGGCTTTGTGAAATCAGCATAAAGAAGGTCAGAAATGGGTTTGCATGGATGAAATAAGTGGCTTCTTAATCAGCACAATGGATATCAGAAATCAACTCTCAGGGGCATTCTAGAAATGTGGACTGACTGGGTTTTTTTTTTCCTTCTTCTTCTCTTTTTGGATACTCTGCCCTCACATGAACAGGGACAGTGACTTTAGCGAGCCCTGGAGTCTCTTCCCTCAGGGACAGCCCCCACCCAGCCTTCATACCAGGGCTGTGCCAGCCTCACATGTCACAGACTCCGCTCACCTGAATCCGGCTAACGGGCTGGTTGAGTCCTGTGTCTCCGGGGCAGTGCTGTCCAATATGGTGGTTAGAGCCACATGTGGCTTTTACATTTTAAATAATACAAGCTGAAGAAAGTTAAGAGATTCGGTTCCTTGGTCATTTTAGCCACATTATAAGAGCTCAATTGCCCCATGGAGCAGATGGCTGCTATGTTAGACAGTGAAGATATATGTAGAACATGCCCCTCACCACAGAAAGTTCTCTTAGATACTTCTGCTCTTCTTAGAATGTAGTTGTGTTGGCCTGGATGAGGCCCTCATGTAAGAAGGGGTCAAAGCACCCAAAGGACAAAGGGCTAGGGTTTCATGACCTCACGCAACAGCCTGGATGACCACGTGGAGGCCGGTATGCTAACACATGTCGCCGTGTCTGGAGCCTGCATCCATTATACCCTGGCTATGAGGTGGGGTTGGGAGCAGAGAACCCCCACTGCCACCTCACATCTTAGGGGCTGCCATTACCTGCTGAAAAGAGCCGCAGAGACTTCCCTGGTGGTCCAGTGGCTGAGACTCCACACTCCCAATGCAGGGGGCCTGGGTTCGATCCCTGGTCAGGGAACTAGATCCCACATGCCCCAACTAAAGATCCTGCATGCTATAATAAAGATCAAAGATCCTGCATGCCCCAATTGAAACCTGGCACAGCCAAATAAATAAACAAATGAGAAAAAAAAAAAGAGAGAGAGAGAAAGGAAGAGCTGCAGAGCTGCGCAGGACTGAGCTGGTGTCTGTGAATGGAGACCCTGTCCCCGGCGCTGAGGAGCAGACGGGGGTAACCTCCAGCCCCTCACCTTTCATCCAGCTCAGCGAGTACTCCTGCCGGCAGCCTGAGCTGATGCAGTGCGACGTGTAGAAGGTTCCGTGGGCCTCCACCAGGTCTTCAGGTTCCAGCCCAGCCACTCGCTCCAGGGTGTCTATGTTCTGGAGGGAGACACAGAGGGGAGAGGGTCAGGAGTGAACCACCTTCCCCTCCCAGGGGTCAGAAGACAGAGCAGGGGACTGCAGCTGAGAGAGGCAAGTGGGATAGGGTGAGAAGAGAGGAGGGGCGAGGCAAGGGGCAGGGGTATGTCTAAAACTCTTTGGTTCCCGCTGATTGTGCCTCTGAAAAGTAAGCCCTGGACACTTCAAGGCAGGGGCCCAAACTCAAATGCCTATGAACCCAGGCCACTACCACCAACCAGCCCTGGTGTTTTTCTGCAAAATCAGGCCATTTTGCTTCCCTTTTGTGGAAGATTTGTTCTGTTAGAACCAGACACTCTAGTGGCACCAGTCAGAAATTTGGTGAAATAAATGTACCAATCTTCAGTGTCTCTACTGTAAACACAGCCCTCTCAGATATGGCATCCTTGTGCAGTACCCAACCTGCACAGCTGTCTGTGGCAGGCTTGGCCAGACATTAACACAAATCAATGAATCAGGAAGTTTTTTTTGAGTTTTAATTACAGTTATCCTATTTAACAGTCGGGTTTCTTACTGTGATCTGCTGCACAGATAGTATATTAACTTGTATTCTTTTCAGACAGAATTACTTTCCTTAGTCAACACACAAGGATATTTGTCTCTTTCACATTTGTGTTTATAGATAATATATTAACTTGTATTATTTTCAGACAGAATTACTTTCCTTAGTCAACACACAAGGATATTTGTCTCTTTCACATTTGTGTTGATAGATAATATATTAACTTGTATTCTTTTCAGACAGAATTACTTTCCTTAGTCAATACACAAGGATATTTGTCTCTTTCACATTGGTGCTTTCTTCAGCCATTTTGGAGCAGCTTTTGTTTGCCCACAAGGAAATGCCACCAAGGCAGGTGCTTCTGGAGGACCTAGCGGATGTTACAGAGATGGCCAGGCACATGCAGCCCACAGCTGACCCAATAAGGTTTCCCGGAGACTCCGCGAACCACCATTCCATTTCCAACTGCCCTCTCTGCTTCCAGTCAGCCCTCAGTTTATCCCCAAAACATGCACACGAGAGTCTCTGTTTCCAGATTTTCTGTGGCTTTCCCTTGCCCCAGCCTACTAGAAATGCTAGTTTTGCCTTTGTTCCTGGATTTCCTCACATGCAAGCAGTGTGTATGCGAATAACTGGGCTTCCCTGGTGCTCGGATGGTAAAGAAGGCAGGAGACCTGGGTTCGATGGCTGGGTGGGGAAGATTCCCCTGGAGAAAGGAATGGCAACCCACTCCAATATTCTTGCTTGGAGAATCCCATGGACAGAGGAGCCTGGTGGGCTACAGTCCATCCATGGGGTTGCAGAGAGTTGGATGACTGAGCAACTAACACTACTCACTACTACTCATGCAAATAACTAAATGGCATGTCAAAGGGCTACCTACGTGCCTCTGTGTTACCTTTTGATGCCACTTAAAAAAAATTATTTGGCTGCACCAGGTTGTGGCACGAGGGATCTTTGATCTTTATTGCTGCATGCAGGATCTTTGGCTGTGGCATGCAGGATTTTGTTCCCTGACCAGGGATAGAACCTTAGCTCCCTGCATTGGGAGCTTGGAGTCAGCCACTGGACCACCAGGGAAGTCCCTTGATGCCACTTTTGATGGGGCACCCACAAATAAACAAAAACGAATGTGGCTGGGGAGTTTCCTGGTAGTCCAGCGGTTAGGACTCGGTCCTTTCATTGCCATGGCCTGGGTTCAATCCCTGGTTGGGGAACTAAGATCTTGCAAGCTGTAAGCACAGCCGAAAAGCAAAAAGAATGTGTCCAGACTTCCTGAGTGTTCTAGTGGCTAAGCATCTGCTGACAATGCAGGGGACATGAGTTCGATCCCTGGGCCGGACAGATTCCACATGCCTTGGGGCAACTAAGCCCATGTGTCACAACCACTGAGCCTGTGCTCTAGGGCCCATGCACCACAACGACTGAAGCCACCACATCGAGAAGCCGTGGCACCATAGCGAGGAGTGCAGCTACAATGCACTCTTCAACGAGAGCGCAACCAATGAAGAGTAGCCCCTGCTCGTGGCAACTAGAGAAAGCCTGCACGTAGCAACAAAGACTAGGTGCAGCCAAAAAACAAACAAACAAATCTTGGGGGGAAAAATCTATCTTTTAAAAAAAATGATGTGGCTGACCTGTATGTACTGGCATGAAGCAATCTCTTCAAGATGTTAAAAGGCCCTGTGTACAAGATGTGGAAAAAAAATCAACATATGAATTTGTGCGTTTGCTTGCCTAAGTGTGGACTGTTTTCAAAGGAAACCCAAGAAGCAGGCAACATTAGCGGCCCCTGGGGAGGGAAGCTGGGGCTGGGGAATATGGCCTAAGAGGCTCAGTATAAAGGACAAGCAGCAATGACCGCATGGAGACACGGAGCAGCTGACGTCTGGCCTTGGTGCCAGGCAGGGAACAGGGTGTGGGGAGGAGGAGGTGGGCCGCTCAGCTCTAGTCAACTGCTCCCCACTCCACCACCCCCAGAAAGCCACCTGGGGTGTAGCCAGCTCTTCCAGATCTGCAAGAGGAGCCTGAAGTCTGAGTTTTCATCTGCTATCTCTTTTGATTGTCAAACGTTAGCTCACTTTCAGTTTCAAGATATCACGTCTCTGACTGACATGCTTTTAAAAAGCATGAAGTGGGCTTCTCCGGTGGCTCAGTGTTAAAAAAATTCGTGTGCTGATGCAGTAGACATGAGTTTGATCCCTGGTCCAGGAAGATCCCACATGCTGAGGGGCAACTAGGGGCAACTGAGCAACTACTGAAGCCCGCACAAAGCCCCTAGAGTCTGTGCTCCACAACAAGAAAAGTCACTGCAGTGAGAAGCCTATGCACTGCAACTCGAGAGCAGCCCCTGCTTGCTGCAACAAGAGCAAAGCCTGTGCAGAAACGAAGACCTAGCACAGCCAAAAAAAAAAAAAGAAAAAAAGACTTCTCACCTATAAATGGGAAAAATATTTTTTTTAGTTAATAAAAACCATGAAGCTGCTATGTGGGTGAGTGTAAGGAAGGGTCTTCCAAGTAAGGGTTTTAGGGAAAGAAAGCTGAGTATAAACCCGATGTATAATGTAAACATCACAGATACAGATTTAAAAGAGTAGAGATCACAGGGACTTGACTGAAGGAAACAACTGTTCTTCTGTTTGAATGGATACTTGTGTCTTGAGATAAAAACAGCATCGCTTCAAAAGTGCTACATCGTCACAATTCAGGAAGACGTGAAGACAGTGTGTTCCAGAAAACTGGGTCAGTGACTCAAAAAGTGGCTGACGTTGAAGAACAGGGTGAGGAGGAGTTGAAAAAAAGAATGGTTTCATGAAACATGAGAGTGGAAAAATGTTTCCACCTGTGTGTAATGTAATGCACCAGTGTGAATATACATGTAGACTTAAATCTGTGTGTGAAATATTATAAGGGGAAATGCCATCACATTTCACACTGACCCCAGAACATATTCATGTTGGCTTTCATGTAAAAAATACCCTGCAGCTGTTGTGCTTTCGTGGTTTGGGGCAGGAGAAGGGGGTGCCTCATATGGAGCTGGGGAGTCAGCCCTCTGAGCATGTGGGATGAACCACGTGGTCCTGGGCCTGGGTTTCTCGTGCTAGGACCCCTGTGATCTCCTGGTCTCTCCTGCTCTCCAGCTCAAGTCCAGACACCTTAGTGTCTGCCTGACTGTCTGCCTATAGCTCCATGTGGCTGTCTAACAGGCATCTTAACCACGACGTGCCTTCAGCCAAACTCTTCCTCTGCCCCCAACGCCTGCATATTCCACCATCTCAGTAAAAGACAGCAGGTGCTCAGGCTGAGAGATGTCCGACCATCTCTGACTCCTCTCCTTCTCTCAAGAACTGTTTCACATTCAATCCAACAGGAAGTCCTGGTGGCTCCACCTTCAAAACAGGTTCACAAGTCATCCACTTCTCCCCTTGGACAGCCCCTCCCTGGCTCAGCCTCCATCCTCTCCTGCTTGGATCATCACTGCAGCCCCCTCCCTGGTCTCTGTGCCCACCCCTACCCCCAGTGCTCCCTCCCGCAGCCTGCCCTCCACATGCACTTAAGAGGGACCCTGGAGCACCCAGGGCAGATCATGCCTTGGCCCTGCCCAGAGCCCTCCTGTGGCTCCACCTCCCACCAGGGAAAGGACAAAGCCCTCCCGGGGGCCCCCAAATGTCCACATGGCCCAGCTGTCACCTCCTGACCTCATCTCCTCTGTCCTTTTCTACTGCTGTCCTCCACGCTCACTCAGATCCAGCTATTTGAACACGCCAAGTGCAGCCTCACCTCAGGGCCTTTGCACTGTCTGTGCCCTTTGCTTCTCTCCCTGAGATGATCCCATGGCTCCCTCCCTCCCCTCCTACAGGTCTTTGTTTAAATGTTCCTTTTTTCCGTAAGGCCTTCCCCGACTTATTGTTCACAAGAGCACTCATCTCCCCACGCACAAACAGAACTTCTGATTCCCCTTTCCTGCTCAGCCGTGCTCCATAGACGTCTCAGCATGAGATAGACTAGATACTCAACTCATCCTTCTCATCCACTGTCCCTCCCCACCCTAGAGTGTCAGCTCCAGGAGGGCAGGGATGTCTGCTCCCTCTGTCTACTGCCTGCAGGGCCTGGCACTGGTTGGCACTCAGGACATACTGGGACAGAAGCTGATGAACAGGATTGAAAGCAGGGCCGTGGTGAAGATTTCATGAAATCACACACAGAAGGTGCTTGGCTTCAGGTGAGCTGTTTGTATCATGTCTGAACGCATTCCATGGATAAAAGGTCAGGTCTATCCTGACCTGGGGCTCCCCCACAGCCCCCACCGGCCCTAGGTGGGAGTACCTGCCCCCTTCTGAGAATTCTGGACATGAAAAAAAAAGACTTCATCCTCCCCCTGGTGGCAGATTCTGAGGCTGCAGGCTCTAGATTGCCTGGCCAGGAAGAAAAGAATAGAACACCTATTTCTACCTGTGGGTTCTCTCTATTTTATAATTTTGGGTTCTGAGATATAAATTAGAGCAGGCATGGTATCATTGCTCTAGTAGGTCTTGTAATTCAATACATATTTATAAAACAAAAGTAGGGGCACACTTTTCACTATTGGGTATGTGAGACCCCAAAAGTCTCACCAACTAGGAAGCCAAGAATGTGCGCTGTCCTTACCTGAGGACCTCTGGGTGAGGCCCTCAGCTAACTGCCTGACATTCACGAGCTGTGGCCCCATGGCCCACACAAGGCCTTTGCGCAAATCATAAGAAGCTGCCCCTTTCTTAAGACTCTATGGCCACCAACTGGAAAACCGTCAGGGTGCAGCAATCGTGCTGGGCTTCCCTGATGGCTCAGATGGTAAAGAATCTGCCTGAAACGTGGGAGACCTGGGTTCAATCCCTGGATGGGGAAGATCCCCTGGAGAAGGAAATGGTAACCCACTCCAGTATTCTTGCCTGAGAAATCCCAAGGAACAGAGGAGCCAGGCGGGCTACAGTCCATGGGGTCACAAAGAGTCAGACACGACTAAGTGACTAACACTTTTACACTTCAGTGATCGTGCTAGACCAAGTCACTTCAGATCATCTGATGGAAAACCCAAAAAAACATGGTGCCAAAGGAGTCTGCTCAGAGACGGGGTCCTTTCTCAGTACTCACGGGGTGGCCCCCCGAGGGAGGTCACTGCCACACTACCACAGGCCTGAGAGGGTGAGGTGGTTCTGGCCTCTGCTTTTCTTTCCCACCCATCCTGTGTGGCATGTGGAGTCCTCATCCCTGAACAGGATCACACCTGTGCCCCCTGCAGTGGAAGCAGCATGGAGTCGTAACCACGGGACTGCCAGGCAAGCCCCTGGCTTGTTTCACAGAGAGGGAAACAAAGGCTGAGAGAGGGGACGTGACTCACTGCAAGTCACACAACAGAGGCTGCGGCCTGAGCTCTTGACCCCTCCTGCCCGCCCCTTTCCCCCAGGACGCCCGAGGTCCTGCCTACCTGTGTGTAGCAGCGCAGGAGCAGCCCCTTCTCCTTCAGCAGTCGGATGAAGTAGTGGCAGATGGTGGGCTGGAGGGAAGCAAGCACTGCGATGCTGACTGTGTACCGCCCTGTGCCAGGAGCTGCTCCAGACCTGCCTCTCCTCATGGACTCTTCACACCATGAGGCACACAACTTCATTATCCCCGTTTCCCAGGTGGGGGAACTGCGGCTCAGGGAGGGTGACTGTCTGGCCAAAGTCGCACAAACTGTGGAGTTGGCGTGGGCACAGAAGCAGCCTGGCTCCAGAGTCTGGGCTCTTACATGTATCATTAGCTCATTTAAGCCTCACAGCATTTCTTTTCACGATTATCGGCTCCATTTTACAGATGGGAAAACTGAGGTCCAAGGACACAAGAGCAGGAAATGAGAGAACAGGACTTGGACTCAGGTAGTCTGGGCCCAAAGCCCAGGCTGTTTTGTTTTGTTTTTTACTATGCTTCAAGGCTTGCAGGATCTCAGTTTCCTGACCAGGGGTTGAACCTGGGCCACGGCAGTGAAAACCCAGAATCCTAATGAGTAGGCCACCAGGTCCCATGTATTTAATAGTTGCAGGCTATTTGTCTAAAGGGCCCTGAAGGGGGCCTTCCCATGCCTGCTGGCCCCCAATTTTTCCTGTCCCCACTTCCACAAGAAAGAGCTCACCTTGAACTGCCCAGGATAGAGTTCCTTGGCGAGAGCAAAGAAGGGCTCTGGATGTTTCTGTGGGAGAGAGAGCCGGAGGGCAGGTGGGCACCCAGATGCCCCTGGTGAGATGTGAGCGGGAGCCAGGAGGCCCTGTCCACCCCCCGTGACGACAAACCTTCCGCTCTGTGCAACACACCTTGAAGTAGCTGATTTCAAAGATGGCCTCCGGGTAGGGAAGACGGTATTTCTCCAGGTTGGCGTAGAGGCCGGTGTTTGGGGAGCGGAAGTCAGGGATGCCTGCAGCTGGGGGAGGCGGGGCAATCAATGAGGGACCCTGGCCCCTCTTCTTTCACCCCCCAACACAGCTCCTCCCCAGGCCCTCGGAGGGGCACCCCAACCAGGGAGTGGCTTTTGGGGGAGGGGAGCACTTACAAGTGGAGATTCCAGCTCCCACCAAACAGATGACCCTGCGACCTGGAGGAGGAGAGTTTAGGCAGCATGTGTTTTTCTCTTTTTCAACTTACATTTGTTTATTGTTGTTTTGAACATCAAACATTGCTCCAAAATATGAACTGTTTATCTTAAGAGAGTTGTCTTTGCCATAAATTAAGTACTGAACTGATGTTTACAATTGATTTTTTACAACTTAAAAAACTTCTAAGTGGCACTGCTGTCTAATAATCAGATATATCATATCATCATGGACTGAACGTAATGATTAAAAAAGTAAAGTTTTTTAAAAAAAGAGCAATGTTTTCCCTTCCCATTCTTACCTCTTAGGTAATTGCACCTATCACAGTTCCTGAAGCCATTTACTCTGTGCCAGGCCCTGTGGCGAGCACTTGGCTCTCTAAGCCATCTCAAGGTGGGTGGTATTAACATTCCCATTTTACAGATGAGGAAACTGAGGCTTAGACAGGGGAAGGGGTCATACAGTTGACTGATGGAAGACCCAGCATGCGGTCAAAGAACCCATTGGTTAAGATTACACCAGTGCACTACAGTATTCTTGCCTAGGAAATCCCATGGACAGAGGAACCTGGCCAGGCTACAGCCCATGCACTACTGAAAGACTAACACTTTGTTTCTTCAAGTCTCTGTTGAAATGTGCTGCCTTGAGGGGTTAGGTGGAGGTGTTGAAGATAATTCTCAGGTTTCTGGTTGGACAAATGTACAGCTGTTCACTGAAGTAGAACTGAAGAAAGTTTGTTGATCCCTGCATCTATGGGATATTCAGAGACTGTCTAAAAATATATATATGAAGATTTCAGCTTATGAAGCTATCATCTTAAGAAAAATGAAGAGTATAAAGATTTAGATCTACTCCAGGAAATCTATAAACTTAAAAAATCACAGAATACTGTTAAGAAAAATTATCCAACAGTTGGAATAAAGACAGTGTAGCATGACCAAAAAAAAAAAAAAAAAGATTACACCAGTGTAGCAAGATTCATAAAAAGGCCACTTGGAGGGAAGTTTCTCCTCCCAGCTAGATCTAGACAAACACATGAGATCTTAGTGAGAAGTAGATCTTAGGGAGAAGGCTGGGAGGGTGTGTTCCCCCAGAAGTGCTGCAGGTTATTGTGAAAAAAAAAAAAAAAAAAAAAAAAATCTCTGGCCACCTCTTCATCTTCTGGACACAATATTGGACAGCCATCTATTTCCAGCTTAAGATACACATTCCTCCATCCTATTCCTTCCCTCCATAATCAAATGCATGTTAGCCACCAGAAGTCAATAATTTTCAGGTGAGGATCCAAGCTGGGCCATTCTCAGCTCACACACAGTGAGCAGCAGAGTGGATAAGGGCTTCCAATCCTGGCTTTCCTGGGCACCAGCAGGGTTGTGGGGGGTGGGGAGGGGGTGGGTCTTAGTTCAGATCACCATGCTGGGCTTTAGCTTCCTGCTCTGTAAAATGGACACAATCACTGTACTGGCCTCGTGGGGGCTGTTGAGACAAGGAATTCTCTCCTGTGAAGCTGAGATCAATGACTAGCACTAAAGATTCTTCAAGACTCTAGTACTCAACTTCTTCAGACCTGTGATTCATATCCCTATAAGCACTTTGTTCCCCCAATGTCACCAGTTTTTGGAAAAGATGCGAAGATGTGGGCGGGGAGAGGTGGAGTCATTTCACAAGCATGCAGGGCTGTGCAGAAATAGCCTGACTGCCTCTTTGGTGGCTGGCTGGCAGCCCTGCCGCGCAGCACCCTTGGCATCCGCCAGTCGGCTGATGGACACACACGAGTGTGAGGGCCTCTGGGGTGTCAGGATGCCATCGGATCAGGCCTGGCAGACCCAGCGGACCCAGTAGAAGGGAGTGAGTGTGAACTCTAGATTCAGGAGTCCTGACTCTGCCTCTTTCCAGCTGTGTAACCCCGTACCAGGTCACAACCTCTCTGTGTCTCAGTTTCCTCCTCTGCCCAGCCGACTCCTCACAGGTCTCCTGTGCAGACCCTATGAGGGGGTGCCTGCCAAGTGCGTAACCCAGTGCCTGGCAAAAGGTGAGAGCCCGATTCATTGTTATCATTTATTATTATCCCCTCACAGGCACCATCAATTATTCTAAAACCCAGGTGCAGGAGGATGGACGGAACGAAAGCTTTGTAGCCACTGCCTGTATTCTCTTTGGGGCCCACCCAAGCCAGAAGATGGGGCTTCCTGAGTGGCTCCATGGTAAAGAATCCGCCTGCCAATGTGGGAGATGCGGGTTTGATCCCTGGGTCAGGAAGATCCCCTGGAGAAGGAAAGGGCAACTGACTCCAATATTCTTGCCTGGGAAATCCTATGGACAGAGGAGCCCGGCGGGCTACAGTCCGTAGCATCGCAAGAGTCGGACATGATTTGACTAAACGACAACAACAAAGGCGGGAGATGGCTGAAGGCCGCTGCTCCAGGAGAGGGGGGCTCAGGGCGTCCGGCTTGGCTGCCTGAGGAGAGATGGCAGCAGCTGGAGGACAGGGAAACTGGAGGGGACGTCCTCAACAAAAGGCTGTTCAGGACCCTCAAAGGGTCGATTGTTCTAGTCAAGGACTGCCAAGGGCTCGGTTTCTCAGACTCTGGTGACCTCAACTTGAGGCAAGAAATATAAATTACCCGGTGACCTGGTAAAAAATCTCTGCACCACGCCCGGAACAAGCCTCCTGTAAGAATCGTCATGGGACACCTAGGCAATGCTTGCTCTGTTTCAGGTGTTCATATCCATGAATCTATGGAATCCCTCTGCATAATCCTGGGGCTTCCCTGGTGGCTCAGATGGCAAAGAGTCTGCCTGCAGTGCAGGAGAAGAGGGTCTGATCTCGGGGTCAGGAAGATCCCCTGGAGGAGGGCATGGCAACCCACTCCAGTAATCTTGCCTGGAGAATCCCGTGGCCAGAGGAGCCTGGTGGGCTACAGTCTATGTGGTCCCAAAGAGAAGGGAGGAAGCCATGGGGATACCTGGGGGAAGAGTCTATTCCATAATCTTATAAGGTAATTACTATTATTAGCATCTTCACTCTAATAAACAAGCCTGACCAATAGAGACCCGGTGATTGGTTCGGGGGGGTAGGACTGTGACCCAAGCTGGGCTAATCAGAGCCAATCTCTGCTCTTGTGCTTGAACCACTGGGAGAAAGAGGCTGTTTTTCAGTGGGAGCTGCTAGACTAGTAGAACTTGTATTTACAGCTGCCAGGAGCTCCCAATACAGAGAAGAGCCAAAAAATGGCTCAGCACAGAAGTTGCTGAATCCAGCCACACTGCAGGATCAACAGTTACAGGATCAACACACTCCCTTTTTGGCACCAGCCAGTTTGAGTTGGGTTTCTTGCGACTCGCAGACGTAAGCTGTGAATGTTTTGGGGCTGAGAAGTCATGAGAAGTGTGTTGGGGGGGTGGGGGTGGAGTCATGCAGGAAGGCGCCCAGGGGGGCGGGGAACTCACAGCGCTCGCTCTGCATGTAGCGGCTCACTCCTTCCAGGGTTAGTTCGTCCAGGAGTCGCTCCTTCTGGGTGCCCAGGCCCAGAGTCTGGGAGAAAAAATTCCGCAGGAAGTCCACTGGCCAAAAAGAAGAGAGACAGTGGTTGGGCGGGTGTTTGTTCAAGGGGACACAGAGGTCCTGAGTGCCCCTGCCCAGCCCTGGGGTCTCCTGTCTTCCCACGACTAAAGGTTGGATGCCTGGCCCGGCCAGGGATCCCGAAGCACTGCATCTGTTCTTACACACTTTGCACGTTACCCCCAGTGGAGGTGAACACCCGGATCCCTGCCCTAAACCACCCTCCAGAACCCCCCAGAACTGTGCTCCCAAGGCAGATACTCACTCTCTGCTTCTCCGCCAGTGGCTCCTGCCTCAGTGTCTGAATCTGAGTCCTGGAAGGGGTGGAGGTGGGGTGATGAGGTCCCAGAAGTGGGGTTAGGGAGGGGAAGAGGGGATGACACCAGGGTTCTGGGGAAAGGCCGTGGCTGGGAGGTGGGCCTGAGGGAGTGAGGGGCAGAGGGGCCCGTGCTGGGGGCACGTGTGGGCTCTGGGACAGGCTGCCTGTGTTGGAAACCCAACTCTGCAACTCGAGAGGAGTGTGGCCTCCTGTGGGTGACTGCATTTTTTACTGAGTCTCCGAGCTCCTCCTCTCACAAGTGGAGCTTGGAGGACGGAGGAAGGCCACCTGGAGGGCTGTGAGCCATGTGAGGCGCTCACAACAGCCCTGGTCAGGGGTGGTGGTGGCGGCGAGTGCTCAGGAAATGCTGGTTACTGCTCTCATCACCTCCCATTGTCCACGTCCTCACCTTATATCCCCTCCAGGCCCCTGCCCTGCCCAGCAGCTCCGCAGCCGCCTCAGCTACGTCAATAATGCTGGTAGAAACGCCTCGGTCCTCACCCTGTCCTCACACCTCGGTCCTCACCTCAGCCCTCTGGCTTAAAGCCCGCCCCCCACTCCACCTTTCCAACCCTTCCGTCTCCTTATCAACTCCTCTCCTCGGCCAGGTGCCCAAATTGTGGGTCTGGGACTCTGTCCTGGGTCCTCCCTCCCGTCTCTGTCTGCCTTCCCTGGGCTAGCTCCCCCATTCATGCCAGCGGTCTCAGCCTGGTCTCTGACGATGCCACCTTTCTGTCTCCAGATTCAGGGTTTCCACAGCCCCTGGATGCCTCCCCCTAAGTGTGACCCCAGACCCCTCATTCTCACGGTGTCCCAAACCAGCCTCAGCATCTCTTCCAAACCTGCTCCTCCCCCTGGGGCCCTAACTTGGTGTGGCTTCTATCCCTGTGTTTGCCAGATGTCTCCTGCCTCCCTTGCCTGCCCTCCTGCCATAGCATGTCCCGTCCCCGGGGCTCCACGTGGGCCAGTCTGTCCCTCCAGGGGCCCTGCCCCGGCCTCCGCCCTAGCTCCTAGTCTCCGTCTCCATCTATGATCTACTCTCCTGCTCTCTGTGTGTTGACCTGTCTGGGTCCACCCTTTGCCCTCCACATCAAAGGCCTTTCTCTTTGGCTCCCCCAGTTTAATCATCTGATCACAAACATCTATGGTGTTTACCATGGTGCCAGCCAGCTCCAAGCCTGGGATTTTTCACGGTCACCACTGGGTAAAAATGTGTTAAGTCCCTCAGTCGTGTCTGACTCTTTGCAACCCCATGGACTGTAGCCCGCCAGGCTCCTCTGTCCATAGGATTCTCCAGGCAAGAATACTGGAGTGGGTTGCCATGCCCTTCTTCAGGGGATCTTCCCCACCCAGGTCTCCCACATTGCAGGCAGATTCTTTACTGTCTGAGCCACCAGGAAAGCCAGGTTTCCTTGCTCTAAGATTGTATCTACAAGCTGTACAAAACTCTGACCATTAGACAATGTATAACTTGAAGGTGCTTGCCTCATGAGTCCCTCACCCATAGTCCAGCCCTCCCACCCCATCCTCCCCTTCAAGATAGCCACTATTAACAGTACAATGGTAATTACTCCAGATTTTTTTCTCTGAGTTGGTGATGGACAGGGAAGCCTGGCGTGCTGCGTCCATGGGGTCGCAAAGAGTCGGACATGACTGAGCGACTGAACTGAACTGAAAACTCATTATTTCCCCAGAAATGGGTCGCCCCACAGTACAATGCCGCGCCTCGCATTTTCCACCAAACAATATATCACAGACCCGCCAGCTACAGAGTGTTGTATTGTACGGTTCATAGTTCATTTAACCCATCAACTGACAGTCGTTTGGGCTGTTTCCAGTTTGGCTGTATCGCACAATGCTGCAATTTACACCCTCGGATCGCTCTCTTTGGGACTGAGGGTCCCTTTTCCACATGAAACCTTTTTCTCTGACAGTGGCCGGGCTTTGGAAGCCAGGCGAGGGAGAAGCCTGGCCTGACAGGGAGTTCTTGTCCCCTTGGTGTGGCTCGGCCATGCATCTGTGGGGTGCTCTCGTCACAGCTTCTGCTCTGCCCTACATGTGAACCGCGACCTCGTGTCTGTGGGTGGGCTGGCACGCTTTCAGGCTGCAGACAGTGAAGCTCTGTGGAAGGAGGCGAGGGCCCTGCCCAGCACGTGGGAGCAACTTGGTCTCGGGGGGAGCTGAAGGTGATAGTGGAGCCTCTGTGACCCCGCTTCCAGTGAAGCATCTGGGAGGCAATGTGTCAAGGCGCCGAGGGTTGCAAACCTGTCCCTGGTCGTCTAGCCAATGGACAGAGGACAAGTTGTTAAAGAACTCAGTTTCCAATTCCTTGGCTATAAAATGACCACAGTAGACCCGCACCCCTCCCCTCCACCGCTGCCCCCGGGATGCTAGGATACCCATCAAACACGAAGCAGAGTACCCAGCTGGCTTAAAAACTCGGTAAATGCTAACCATCAAGGTAATCAGCCACCTGAATCCTGAACACATGACACTCTTTCACGCCCTCTAGTATACCCTCTGCCTGGGACACCACTTCTCACCTTGCCTAAGAAAATCCTAAATTACTCTACACCTATTACCATGTGCTGTATCTCAGTCTGACTCCGAGATCAGCCTGTGGATTCTTCCCGGGAAGGGTATGGCTGGAATCTGTGTGATCTCACACTGTTTACTCTGCGCTCCCAAAGTGCCCTGCGCTACTTTCATGATCACCAGTAGAGTCACTGTCGAGTCACACGTCTGTGAGATCTGTGAATTCAGGAACCAAATCTCTTCCTTGCCCACTGGGAACGAGGTTCAGAAGGGAGAGCGGGTGGGAGGGGTGTGCAAGGAGAAAGGAAAGTTTGCAAGGGCAGGCCTAGGCTTTAGGCCGCACACCCTTCTCTGACAGGCCCCAGAATCCACCATTCCCCCAGGAGCTGAACCACAAGGGGAGGCGGGGTGGGGGGCTGGGGCAGTGAGCTGAGGGCCCTGGGGTCTCTGACTTCCCTCTGCCACCTCCCCCCGTGTGGGGTGTGGGAAGTCCATCTCTCTCCTTCCCTCCACCCTTGTCCCCATCTCACCTGAGCCTCCTGCACCTTCCCTGCCTGGGTCTCCTCGGGGTCAGAGGCTGGGGGAGGAGGGGGAGCAGACGTGGTTACGGCGAAAGGAGTGGTTAAGGGGGAATGAAGGGCTTCCAAGTGGGGGTGCAGGGAGGGGCAACAAGACCCTCCAACCTAGTTATATGGGGGTGAGGGTATAAAAAGGGAGTGGATGGAGGGAGGGAAATGAAGAAAAGCAGATCTTACTAGAGTGGAGAGTGCTGGGAGGAGAGATGGTTGGTGAAGGACAAAGAGGCTGGGATAGGGAGGCTTAGGAAAGTGAAAAGAAAGTAAAGCAGATAAGGACATGAAGGAAGACTTAGGAAGAGTTAGGAAGTACACAGTAGTGTGGGAGTGTGTGCTGGGAGGGTTAGGTTTACAAGCAGAAGAAAATGTAGAAAGAAAGAGAGGATAAGGGATACTGGGCCTGGAGGCGGGTTTGCAAGAAGAGGTGGTGGGGGCGGAACGGAAGGGCGAGATGGTAGATTTAGAAGAGGAAGGAAGAGATAGGAGGGGACACCAGGGGTCCCCGAACACCCTACAGTCCCACTAACAACCAGGTACCCTTAGCAACCCGGACAGCGGTATTCTAAGTCCCTAATAACAAGGGTCCTTAGCAACTAAGGTGCGAGACACACGCTATCATTAGTAACTTCGGGGACGTGGCAAGCGGACCCTTAAAACCTCGCGAACCAGAAACCCACCAATCTAGCAATCTGTATCACAACGGCTCCCTGAACCGCATTCCCCTCCATGCAGCCCACATCTCCTGCCCCACAACTCCCGCCCTCGGGCCCCGGGGCCTGCAGCCCTCAGCCAGGCCCCGGCACGGCCCGACCCTCCCACCAGGGCCCCCGACTCACGATCCGGATCGGCCATGGGCGCGGGGCGGGGGCCCTCGGGACTGTCACCAACTGCTCTATCCCGTGACGGCACCGGAAACAGGAGGGGGCCGAGATAGGTCAAAGAACTACAACTCCCAGGAGCCATAAAAAACGTCCGGAGCGTGCCCCTCTGAGGTAAGAGGAGACACGCGAGGGCCGGACTACGAATCCCAGAGTGCCTCGCGTCCGCAGCCATGTTGGTAAAGGGCGCGCGGAATGAGTGGGAAAGGGTAGAGAGTCGCAGTCCATCTGAATACTCTGATTGGTCACAGTGTAGTATGAGGGCGGGGCGCTTACTATTTAGCCGACTCTGATTGGGTGAGTCCGGGGGGCGTGTTGGGGAATTCCCAGCAGGGCGGAAGCGCCAGAATTCCAGGCAGAGCCCAGCGACTGGCGGGCAGTCGCTGGGGTCCCCTGAGGCTTTGGGGGCTATGGCCGGGGTCGCGTGTTTGGGGAAAGCTGCGGACGCCGATGAATGGTGCGACAGCGGCCTGGGCTCTCTGGGTCCAGACGCGGCGGCCCCTGGAGGACCTGGGCTAGGCGCGGAGCTGGGCCCGGGGCTGTCGTGGGCGCCCCTCGTTTTCGGCTACGTCACTGAGGATGGCGACACGTGAGTGAACCTTAGCCTGCCACACGAGCCTTAGGATCCCACATCTGATTTCCTGTTAGTCTCTGATACTGATTTTCCAACCTCTGAATCCTAAATCTGTCTTCTAATGCTTACTCTGACCTCTAACCCCCAAGTCTAACCCTTGATAAAATCAGTTTCCAAGCTAGTTTTTATCATAACCCCATTCTTTCTGAAATTCTGGCCCTCAGAGCTTCACATCCACTGATTGATTCTACATTCAAAACTCAATTTGAGCTTCCTGACCCCAGTCCTGAGACCTATCTTAAAACTATAGCTCACAGGCTCCTTCTGACATCTCACCTCCAAATATGATCTTTGATCCTTAGCTCCTAATTTCGGAGCTTTAAATTTTGATTTCCAAAATTAACATTTGGCTTTTGACTCTTAAGATCCCTCTTTCTGAGCACTGATCTTCAAATCCTACATTGAAAGAGAAAATGTAAACTCTATGACAGCAAGGATTCATCTGTTTAACAAGTATTTGTCTAGCACCTACAACATTTCAGGCCCAGTTGTAGATGCTGGTGATAAGGCAGTGAAGAAAGCACAACAACTTATGCTTTGTGGAGCTTACATTCTAGTGTGGGGGGGTCTATAAATGGAAGGGCAGACAGAGTGACAGAAAGGAAGAAAGGAACGGTGGGAGGAGCAAAAAAGAAAGAAAGAGAGAAGGAAAGAAAGAAACAGAAAGCCCTATAGACACCAAGTAAGAAAGAGAAGGAAAGAGAAGAAACAGAAAGATGAAAAAAAGAAAAAAAAGAAAAATGGTATGTCAGAAGACAGTAATTTCCTTGGTGAAAATAAAGCAGGAGAGAGTGAGACAAGTAGATTATATGGGGAGAGCATTCCAGGTAGAAGGAACAACGTCATAAAGACCCAATTGAGGGAATGTACCTGGGGTTTTTGTGTGTTGTGTTTACTGCTGTAGCCACAGTGACAGAACAGTGCCTGACCCATAGGAGGCACTCAAGAAACACCCATCTTCTCAGAGAACCAGCTGTGGTTTCATTTATTTTCTCTCTCTTTTTTTGCTTTCTGTTGTGTTTATCTCTGTTTTGACTTTCGTTATTTACTTTCTTCTGCTTACTTTGAGTTTATTTTTGTTCTTTTTCTAGTTTCTTAAGGTGAAAGCTGAGGTCATTGATTTGAGGCCTTCCTATTTTTCTAATATAGGTTTCATGTAAATTTCCCGGAGTAGTGCTTTAGCTCTATCTCATCAATTCTAATGTACTGTGCTTTCATTTCCATTTAATTCAGTATAGTTTCTAATTTCTCCTTTGATTTCTTCTTTGGCCAGTGGATTATTTAGGAGTATGTTATTTAGTTTCCAGATATTCCAAATACCTTTCTTTTATTGGTTTTTAGTTAAATTCTATTGTGTGTGCAGTTGAAAAGAATGTCCATTATCTTGTTGTTGAGTGTAGTTCTCCAGATGTCAGTTAGAGGTTGTATGGGTTTCTTTTCTTGAACTTTTGTTTAGTTCTTTTTGGCTGTGCTGCGTCTTTCTTGCTGCCCACGGACTTTCTCTGGTGGACGAGCGGGGGCTCCGCTAGTCGCGGTGTGAGGGCTTCTCGTGTGCTGGCTTCTTGTTGCGGAGTGGTGTCTCTAGGGCACAGGCTGGGTTGTTGCTGCACATTGGTTTTGTTTCCCTGAGGCATATGGGATCTTCCCGGATCAAGGATTGAGCCTGTGTTCCCTACCTTGGCAGGTGGATTCTTTAGCACTAGACCACCAGTAAGTCCTGTGTTGGTTTCTTTGGTTCTTCTCTTTTTCAAGTCTACTATATCCTTGTTGGTAATTTCTGTCTACTTGATCTATCAATTATTGAGAGTGGGGTCTTGAAATCTTCAATAATAATTGTGGATTTCCTTGTTGTTTTATCAGGTTTTCCTTCATGTGATTGGATGCTCTGTTGTAAGGGGTCCAAATGTTTAGGTTTATTGTGTCCTCTTCCTGAATTGACCTCTTTATCATTGTGAAATAATCTTCACTATCCCGGGTAATAGTCCTTGTTCTGAAATCTACTCTTATTTTAAAAAAACTCCTACTTTCTTTTGACTTACAGGTGTTAGCATGGTATATCTTTTTCCATCTTTTTATTCTTAACCTAGTTTTAAATTTATTTGAAAAGCTGTTACTTGTAGGCATCATATAGTTAGGTTTTGCTTTTTTTTTTATATGTTTGTTTTTAATTTATTTGGCTGCATCGACTCCTAGTTGCAGCATATGGGATCTTGTTCCCTGAACAGGGATTGAAACCTGGCCCTCTGGATTGGAAGTTCAATGTCTTAGCCACTGAACCATCAGGGAAGACCCTAGGTGTTTGCTTTTTTATCCAATCTGACAGCTTCTACCTTTTTTAAAATTTGTGTTTATTTAGTTGTTTATTTTTCGCTGCACTGTGTCTTTGTTGCTGCGCACAGGCTTTCTCTAGTTGTGTGTGCAGGCTTTTCTCATGGTGGTGGTTTCTCTTGTTGTGGAGCACAGGCTCTAGAGCACACGGGCAGTTGTGGCGCATGGCGTTAGTTGCCCCACAGCATGTGGAATCTTCCCAGACCAGGGATCAAACCCATGCCCCCTGACTGCCAGTGCATTGGCAGGCAGATTCTTAACCACTCGACCACCAGGGAAGTCCAGTTTCAACCTTTTAATTGGAGTGTTTAGGCTATTTGTATTTAATTAATTATTAATATGGTTCTGTCTGTCATCTCGTTATTAGTTTTCTACTTGCTGCCCCTTTGTTTACCTTTCTCCCCTGCCTCTTGGAATGAGCGAATTTTGTTCCATTCTATTTCTTTTGTCGGCTTGTTCCCTTTTACTCATTATTTTTTATTTTAGTGGTGTGAAAGATAGGTTGGGAAACTGGTCTCCAGGCAAAATCCAGCCAGCTGCCAGCTTTGGTATGGCTGTGAGCTAAGAATGGTTTTTTACATTTTTAACTGGTTGGAACAAAATCGAAAGAAGAACATTTCATGGCAAGTGAAAATTACATGAAATCCAAATTTTAGACTCCATAAAGTAAGTTCTGTTAGAATCCAGCCACACCGCCCATTCATTTATCAATACATATCACCAATGGCTGCTTTTGTATCCAGCAGAGCTGAACAGTAATAGACAGACCGTAGCATCCACTAAGCCTGAATCATTTATCTGGCCCTTTACAGAAAATGTTTGCTGACTCCTGCTTTAGAGCTTATAGTGGCCCATGGGCTTAGTACGTGCTCCCCAGCCAAGGATCGAACCTGTGCCCCCTGCATTGTGTGGCAGATTCTTAACCACTGGACCACCAGGAAAGTCCCCACTTTAACTTTATTATGTGCCACCTTCAAGTGCTATTATGCTTCTTCTCATAACATAAAAGAACCTTAGAATTGTGTATTTCCATTTGTCTCTTCCTGGCCTTTAGTGTGTTGCTGTCATAGATTTCCTTTATCCATGTATTCTAAACTTCACCAGACATTGTTATTTTTGCTTAAACAGTCATTTCTTTTTAAAAACCTATCAGAAGATAGGAGATTTACATATTGAGGAAGAAAAAAATTTTATGTACTTCTATAGTGACTGTTTTCAGTGTTCTTTATTCTTTTGTTTTCCATATTTTCGTTTGATGTCATTTTCCTTTTTGCTCACAAGTTTCCTTGGACGTTTCTTGTGATGTGGGTTGGCTGGTGATGAGTTCCTTCGACTTTCGTGTAGTTGAAAGCATGTATTTTTGCCTCTATCTTTGAAAAATATTTTGGTTGGGTTAAAGAATTCTAGGTTGTCAGCCTGCCTTTGAGTACTTTAAAGAAGTGGCTCTGCTCTGTTCTCTTGCATTATTTCCTTTGTGAAATCTGCTGTCATGCTTATTTTTATTCCTCTGTAAGGTATCTTTTCCTCTGGCTGCTTTGAAGGTATTTATCTCTATTGTTGGTTTTGAACAGAGTTTCCATATTGGGCCCCGGTGTGTGTGTGTGTGCGTGCGTGTGCGGGCGTGCTCAGTCGCTTCTACTGTGTCCGCCTCTTTGTGACCCTGTGGACCGTAGCCCACCAGGCTCATCTGTCCATGGGATTCTCCAGGCAAGAACACTGGAGTGGGTTGCCATGCCCTCCTCCAGTGTATCTTCTGACCCAGGGATCAAACTTGTGTCTCCTGCAACTCCTGCATTGGCAGGCAAGTTCTTTACTGCTAAGCCACTGAGGAGGCCTCATGCTTACTTCAGTTACATATGTATTGGGCTGCTTATATACAGATATATCCCATGGCTCACTGCTGTTCTTTCCATTTTTAAGTATCTCTCTGTGTTTCATTCTGGACAGTTGCTATTGTGAAGTCCTGAAGTTTGCTAATCTATTTTCTGCAATATGTAATCTGTTGTTAATGCTCTCCAGCATATTTTTCATTTTAGGTGCTGAGGTGTTTTTTGTTTTTAAATATTTATTTATTTTCCAGCACCAGGTCTTAGTTGCAGCGTGTGGGATCTAGCTCCCTGATCAGCGATTGAACCCGAGCCCCCTGCATTGGGAGCAGAGTCTTAGCCGCTGGACCACCAGGGGAGTCCCTGTGTCTCATTTTTTTGGTCGATTGGAGATGGGCGTGAAATCTGGTCCATGTTACTTCTTCTTGGGAGGAAGTAGAAGTCCTACTTAGTAAACACTGGAGACTTCCCTGGTGGTCCAGTGGTTGAGACTCAGTGCTTCCACTGCAGGGGGCGAGGATTCCATCCCTGGTTAGGGACCTAAGATCCCATATGCCACACAGTGCGGCCAAAAACAAAAAATGAAATAAAACACCAAAGAAACAAAAAAATACCAAACCAAAGCAAAACAAAAAACCCACAATGATTAAATAAATTTGCTGAATTAACTCTGACCTGACCCTCCCAGATTCCTGACTGCTGGTTCTAGAACTGTGGGTCATCATGCTTCGCACAGTGGGTGCTCCATGTTTGTTGAAGGAATGAATGCAAGAGTGCTTGTCCTCAGAAGAAGGAAAACAAACCAACAACCCCTCCCCCCACCAAAAAAAAAAACAAAAACCCAAGCAAACCTTAAAAAGAATACTTGACCTCTGCCTTCTGACCCTGGTCCTTGTCCTCAGGGCACTGCACTTGGCAGTGATTCATCAGCACGAGCCCTTCCTGGACTTCCTCCTAGGCTTTGCGGCTGGTACCGAGTACCTGGACCTGCAGAATGACTTGGGCCAGGTGAGCTGCCCGTGGACAGCCTAGGGCTTGGGGGCCAGGATTCTCAGTATGACCCCTCACCCCTGCCTTTTGCTCCTGCAGACAGCCCTGCACCTGGCCGCCATCCTGGAGGAGGCATCTGCGGTAGAGAAGTTGTACGCAGCAGGCGCCAGTTTGCTGGTGGCGGAGCGTGGAGGCCACACGGCGCTGCACCTGGCCTGCCGCGTGGGAGCCCACGCCTGCGCTCGTGTGCTGCTCCAGCCTCGCCCCCAGCGCCCCAGGGGCGCCCCCAAAACCTACCTCGCTCAGGGCTCTGACCATACCCCTGACACCGACCACACCCCTATTGCCCTGTACTCTGATCCTGACGTGGAGAAAGAAGAGGATGAGAGTGAAGAGGACTGGAAACTGCAGCTGGAGGCTGAAAACTATGAGGGTGAGGGTCCCCAGTCACCGCGAAGGGCCCAGGCTCCCAAGAAGAGCGAGGGCACCTGGCTCTGGGCTCAGCTCTCCTGATGCAAAGCTTAGCTCCTTGGGAAATAATCCCAACATTAATAATAATACTTAAGGGACCCAGGCATCAGGACCAAGGATGCCTGCTCAGCCTCAGGTTATTGAGAACCACAGGCCCCAGCCCACCTGGGACAAGGGAACTCAAAGGCCAGGCCCTCTGAAACTCTGGCGACTCAGGTTCCCAGAGGCTGATATCGGGATTCAGGGACAGCTGTCCTCAGCCAGACCTCATGGGAAAATAGATTCTGTCTACCCAGGGCCCTCGCATCGGAGTCTTAGCTCCCCTGTCTCTAAGCCCAGCTATTCAGTACTTGGGAACAGACCCCCACCACAGGTGGAAGGTCAGAACCCAGTGTTCAGGGCCCACCTCACCTCCCAAGGACATGGACCCAGGAATTTGGGGACCTGGTTCTTTTTGAAGTAAGACCAGAGACTCAGGTCCCCTGTCCAGAGCCCCTGGGCTCTTCACCCCTAGGCCCCAGACAACCCCACAACCCAGGCATCGGCACTGCCAGCAAGTTCCAGATCACCTGAGACTTAAGGGATTTGGGATACAGGGCCTCTTTGATACACCCAGGAATGCAGAAGTCAGACCCCAAACTCCATCAACCTCAGGTCACAAAACCCTCCCCCAGGATGGTGGCATTGGGGGCCCAGTCCCCTCCCCTCTAGCATCTGACAGCGGTCACTCTGTCCCTAGGCCACACCCCACTCCATGTGGCTGTCATCCACAAAGACGCAGAGATGGTCCGACTGCTCCAGGAGGCAGGAGCTGACCTCAACAAACCCGTGAGCCGCCCTAGGGAGAAGATGTGGTGGGGCGGGGGGTCTCCCCGAGTGGGGCAGGGCCCCAGTCACCTCTCTGCTGCACCCCTCAGGAGCCCACCTGCGGCCGGAGCCCCCTGCACTTGGCCGTGGAGGCCCAAGCAGCTGATGTACTGGAGCTTCTCCTGAAGGCCGGTGCTGACCCCGCCGTCCGCATGTACGGTGGCCGCACCCCACTCGGCAGTGCCACACTCCGGCCCAACGCCATCCTTGCCCGCCTCCTCCGTGCCCACGGAGCCCCAGAGCCCGAGGACGAGGACAAGCCTGGCCCCTGCAGCAGCAGCAGCAGCAGCAGCAGTAGCGACAGCGAGAGCGGGGATGAGGGCGTGAGTCAGGAGAGAGCGGGCGGCCCAGCTGGGGGGTCAGGGTAAAAGCGGGCAGGCGGAAGGGGGAGAAGACATTAGGCAGCTCACTGAGATCGCCTGACATTGGGGCTGCTCTGATTAGAGAGCTCAGGCAGCCGTGCAGGCGATATCAGGGGAGACCTGGACAGGGGTGGTGGGGAGAACTCGGGCACTGGCGGGGGAGAAGTGAAGGCAGTGGCAGAGGCAGAACTCAGGCAGAGAGAGAGATAAGACCTCGGCCATAGTGGTTGGTAAACAGGCAGCAGAGGATGGCCGTGGGAGGAGTTTTTTGGGGGGGAAGCAGGACCAGGAGAACGCAGGCTGCGGGAAGGTGACCTTGGGCAGCAGTGATTTGAACACTGGCAGCGGTGGGGAACGACCTCAGCCAGCGGTGAAGGGGCTTCATTGGAGAACCCAGGCAGCGAGACATGACTGTGGGCAGGGGTTGTCGCTGATTGGTGGGGGTTGAGGGATTTGGGTAAAGGCAGAGGGAAGTGGGGCAGAGGGGGAGACTCCCTGTGGCGGCTGAAGGACTGGAGAGGCCGCAGGGCCGGGAGAACACAGGTGACCTTGAAAGTGGTGGTGAGAGAACTAGGAGCTGGGATTCAGATTCAGGAGCGGGGACCTCGGGCTTCGACGCAGCACCCGGTTCCCATGGTGGGTGGGAGAACTTGTGCAGCGGGCAAGGTGGCAGCGGGCAAGGTGGCAGCTGCCTGAGCCCCTCTGCCTGGCCCCTCTGCCCCCAGGATGAATACGACGACATCGTAGTCCACAGTGGCCGGAGCCCCAACCAGCTACCTCCCACCCCAGCGTCAAAACCGCTCCCTGATGACCCTATCTGACTTAACTGTTAATAGTTTCCAATTTAATAAAATGCCAGTTCGGACAACCAGTGGCTAGATCAGCGGTTGCCTCCCCAGGCCTCCAGGTCATTCCTGAGCCCCTGTCCCTCTAAAACCAAGTGCGACGCCATCAGCCTTGGTGGTTTTCTCTGTGCTTTATTCACTCGGGGTGGGGGTGGAGCAGGTCAGGGCATCTGGGCTGTCCTGAGTCAGCCGGAGCCCAGCCCCTCCACCCAGCTCAGACTTGGCCCCTCAGGCCTGGTTTCAAGGCACACCCTTCTCCCCACTCCTGCCAGTTGGGGAGCAGGCTGGGGTGACAGGTTGGGGGTCAACAGTACTAAGCCGTATAGGGTGTGTGGGGAAGGAGGAGGACGTGAGGTCAGCCGGCCCTCCTGAGCTCCTCTCGCAGCATCTCCGCCGCTGCCTTCAGCTCATCGCTCATGTGCTCCAGCCGCTCCACATGGTGCCCCTGGTGGCAACAGAAGCGGGGTCTCAGCACCCACCTTCGAAGGCAGGCCACCTCAATGGTTGTCCACAAGTGTGGGCCAGGTCAGTTCACACGGTAGCAGCCAGCAGCGGTCTCCCTGGTCATCGTGAACTACGATGGTGACCCCGCTGGTTGACCCTGGAAGAGTCACGTTGGCTACCGTGGCCAGTGGTGAGGCCCACAGTGTCTGCCATAGCCAGTGCGGCGGACAGAGGACTAGCCAAGGCGCTCAAAACGACCTCAGCCAGCGGTGAAGGGGCTTCATTGGAGAACCCAGGCAGCGAGACATGACTGTGGGCAGGGGTTGTCGCTGATTGGTGGGGGTTGAGGGATTTGGGTAAAGGCAGAGGGAAGTGGGGCAGAGGGGGAGACTCCCTGTGGCGGCTGAAGGACTGGAGAGGCCGCAGGGCCGGGAGAACACAGGTGACCTTGAAAGTGGTGGTGAGAGAACTAGGAGCTGGGATTCAGATTCAGGAGCGGGGACCTCGGGCTTCGACGCAGCACCCGGTTCCCATGGTGGGTGGGAGAACTTGTGCAGCGGGCAAGGTGGCAGCGGGCAAGGTGGCAGCTGCCTGAGCCCCTCTGCCTGGCCCCTCTGCCCCCAGGATGAATACGACGACATCGTAGTCCACAGTGGCCGGAGCCCCAACCAGCTACCTCCCACCCCAGCGTCAAAACCGCTCCCTGATGACCCTATCTGACTTAACTGTTAATAGTTTCCAATTTAATAAAATGCCAGTTCGGACAACCAGTGGCTAGATCAGCGGTTGCCTCCCCAGGCCTCCAGGTCATTCCTGAGCCCCTGTCCCTCTAAAACCAAGTGCGACGCCATCAGCCTTGGTGGTTTTCTCTGTGCTTTATTCACTCGGGGTGGGGGTGGAGCAGGTCAGGGCATCTGGGCTGTCCTGAGTCAGCCGGAGCCCAGCCCCTCCACCCAGCTCAGACTTGGCCCCTCAGGCCTGGTTTCAAGGCACACCCTTCTCCCCACTCCTGCCAGTTGGGGAGCAGGCTGGGGTGACAGGTTGGGGGTCAACAGTACTAAGCCGTATAGGGTGTGTGGGGAAGGAGGAGGACGTGAGGTCAGCCGGCCCTCCTGAGCTCCTCTCGCAGCATCTCCGTCGCTGCCTTCAGCTCATCGCTCATGTGCTCCAGCCGCTCCACATGGTGCCCCTGGTGGCAACAGAAGCGGGGTCTCAGCACCCACCTTCGAAGGCAGGCCACCTCAATGGTTGTCCACAAGTGTGGGCCAGGTCAGTTCACACGGTAGCAGCCAGCAGCAGTCTCCCTGGTCATCGTGAACTACGATGGTGACCCCGCTGGTTGACCCTGGAAGAGTCACGTTGGCTACCGTGGCCAGTGGTGAGGCCCACAGTGTCTGCCATAGCCAGTGCGGCGGACAGAGGACTAGCCAAGGCGCTCAGTTGGGTGCCAAGACCCATTTGTGAGGTGACGGCCATTTCTGTCACTGCTGTTGATCATGGTGACAGCCGTGCTTTCCACGACCCACCAGTGGTATCCACCTGTGGCCCAGTGAACTGGGCACGGCCGCTACTTTTCATGGTGGCCACCACACTGGTCACAGACTAGCAATGGTAGCTAACTCTGGCGCTTCTGGGCACTAAGGGTGGCTTCTTGGTGGCTGTCATGGAAGTAGGTATGGAAGCCCTCCTAGTCGGGTGGAGGCCCCGCTTAGATGTTGCTACCTAGTCCTGTCAGTCCTACAGCCCATTCATGGTGGATGTTTCTGACTACTTGGTAGGATGTCCACTGACATCTGGTCTACCCTGCTCCCCATTGCTGCTTCCACTCACCTCCCTGTCTGAAGCCTCTTTCTTCTGCTCCCACCGGGGCTCGGCTTCTGGCTGGTGGAAGTGGTGGCGGTCCTCACGTCTCTCTCCACCCGCCTCGACCCCCTGCCACAGGCTGCGACCTCCGCCCAGCACCTGCACTCCCTTCTCCTCTGCCTCGAACTGGGCCGTCTCCTCATCGCTGGCCTGCTCTGCCACCCGCTTCTGGGGGCCCCTGCCGCCCTCCAGATGCTGCTTCCACAGGCCCTCCCAGGTCTCCACGGGCCCCCTCTTCTTTTCTTCCTCTTCCTCCTCTTCGTGGTCCTGGTGGAGCCGGTGGTGGAGCTGCTCACGGACGGCCTGTTCCTGCACCTCGGACTTGTGGGTCCTTTCCGCCGCCTCCTCCTCTTCCTCATCCCTCACCTCCTGGCTGGACCGCATCTTCCCAGCCTCTGGCTTTTTAAAATCCCCAACCAGTAGGCCATTCTCTTCAGTAGGAGGACAGCCAGTGGGAGGACAGCGACAGCCAGAGGACTCTGTCTCACACATTTCTGATGGGAAGAGGGGATGTTCTCTGTGCAGCTAATCAGGAGACAGACCTAGAGGAGTTCTGGGGTGGGGGTGGGGTGCCCGAGCTCCCCCAGGTGACAACCCAGACCTGGGAGAGGAGGGTCAGTACCGGGAGGCACTCTGCCCCCATCCTGTACCCTTGCAGGGAGCCCCAAGAGTGGGGCTGTGGGCCAGGCTCCTTCAGTCTGGACACAATGGTGCTGTGCCAGTCCAGACAGTGGCTCTGGGATGAGAAGAGGATGCCACTGCCTCCGGCAGCCCTGGGCAGACCCCTGGTGGGGCGGGGGCTCCTACGAGGACTGGGGCCTGAGCCCCCCTTACCTCTGTGGAGGAGAGCCAGGCAGGGGCCTTGCCTGGCCTGGCCCAGCATCAGCACGTCTGTGACCACCTCTGCCAGACAGCGCGTCAACTGGGGGTGAAGGGTGAGGGGAGGTTGAGGGCAGGGCAGATGGGGGGAATGAGAGCATAGGAAGATTGGAAGGGAGATGGAGATGGTGGAGGGGGCTGGGGTCCCAGGGAGATGAGGTGGGGTGAAAGGGCCACAGTCCTTACCTCCTCCTTGGAGGGTCTGGGCGCCAGGGGAGCCGCGGTGGCTGTGGGGAAAGGAGGTGGGTGCGGGGCTCAGACCCCGGGCGCTGTCCCTGGTGCTGATTCCAGCTCTGCGGTCACCCTGGTACCCACAAGCCCACTCCCCCAGCCCACCTGCCAGGTGCGCTGGCTCTGCTTGGAAGCTCAGCCCAGGAAAGCTCTAGTCTGGCCCCACTGGGTGCACTGTCCCCATCCCCGGTCACCTGAACCCCTGCTCCCCTGGCTGGCTGCTGAGGTTGCACTGATCTCTGGAACTCACCAGCCCCCAACAGCAGCAGCAGCAGAGCAGGCAGCACCAGCAAGAGCAGCAAGGTGGACCCTCGGCGCGGCATGGTGGGGCGTCCAGACCAAGGTCCTCGGTGCTGTGCGGCCGGGGGGGCAGCTCCTTATAACCCGCGCCCGCCCTCCCCGGGGCAAGGGAGGAACTCTGGCCCCCACAGAGGAGGAGTTGACATCACCGCCTCCCCCTCCCCGCCCGAGGCAGGGCAACAGCTGTGGGGCGGAGAGAGACCTGTCTGAGACCCTCAATTATTCATGGGGGCCCACTGCCCTGCACCCTCCTCTCCAGCTTCCGGCCCCTGAATGCCTGCTTGGAGGGTGGGGGCTTCTCTTCCTAGATAAACAGGGTCTGACTGGGGCTTCCCTGGTGGTCCAGACAGTAAAGAATCTGCCTGCAATGCAGGAGACCCGGGTTCAATCCCTGGGTCAGAAGATCCCCTGGAGAAGGGAATGGCTACTTACTTCAGTATTCTTGCCTGGAGAATCCCATGGACAGAGACAGGCTATAGTCCATGGGGTCGCAAAGAAGTGGACATGACTGAGGTGACTTAGCATGATAGCATGATGAGCTTAAGGTCCTGCTGGGAGGTGGGACCTGCTCTGAATCCAGAGGCAACCACTTACAGACCTCAGGCAACACCTTGCCTTCCCTGGCCCGTATTCTCTGGAAAACAGGTCTCGTAAATCTACTTCCTTGGAGTTGTAACTGGACCTCACCTGAGTCCCAGCTCCTCCGCTACCAGCAGTGCAGCCCTGGGACAACTGCTTGGATGCAAGACCTGTTACTTGTGAAACGGGGCTGGTGACAACCTATTCCACAGCTTGATGGGAAAGATTAAATAAAGTAATGCACATACATATTAGCTTTGGTGATGCCTGGCATGGAGAACTACAGAGGCCTGAGCTCTTTCATCCCAGTAATTTTTATTGGACACACAATGTTATGTCCAGCCCTCTTCTAGACCCTGGGGCTACAACAGAGAATGAGGCTACAGGCAATCTCCCTGGCCTCTTGGAGTGGACATTTGAGAAAGAGAAGATGGACAACACTCAAGGAAGGAGGAGGGACTTCCTTAGTGGTCCAGTGGTTAAGAATCTGCCTTGCAATGCAGGGGACGCAGGTTCGATCCCTGGTCGGAGAACTAAGGTCCCACATGCCCTGGGGCCAACCAAGCCTTCGAGGCAACTTCTGAAGCCCACCTGTGCCACAATTAGGGAATCCGTGCACAATGAAAGATCCTGCATGCTAAAAGTAAGATTAACGCTGCAACTAAGACCAGAGGCTGCCAAATTAAAAAAAAAATCTGCTTTCTAATGTTCCAATGCAAGGGACATGGGTTTGATTACTGATCAGGGAACTAAGATCCCACATGCTATGAGGCACCTGAGCCTTTGTGCTCTGGAGCCTGCTTACCACACCTAGGGAGAAGCCTCCACACCGCAACCAAGACCCAACACAGTTAAAAAAAAAAAGGCAAGGAGGAAATGGCTGTGGTGCATCACTGGAGCACGGCAGCTAGAGGCTGGGGTTTTACTTTGGCCAGGCTGGTCAGGGGAGCCCTCTCTGAGGAGGTGACATTTGGGCTAAGGCCTGAGGGATAAAATGCAGGCAATTGCACAAGGTTTAGGGGAAGAATAGCTAGGATAGGAAAGAGTCGAGCAAGTGCAGAGGCCTGCGTTGGGACTGAGTCTGAGAGAACAGGCAGGTAGGTTGGGGGCTGGCCAGAGCACAACAGGAAAGAGGCTGGAAGAAGGGGAAGGTAGAGGGCAGTTCTCATGGGTCCCGGGGACCACAGTGACTTGTCTTCCCCCCCCAGGGAGATGGAGCCACAGGAGGGCTCTGAGCAGGGAGGCACGTGACCTGACGCAGCTGCCCACAGGGTCCCTCTGGCTTTTCGTGGGGGAACAGGAAGCAAAAAGAGGCTGCTACGATTCTCCAAATGGGAGATAAGGGTGGACAGGACGGGACGAGACAGCAAAGGCAGGATCTGGGGATGTTTTTTTTTTTTAAAGATTGATTTATTTTTGGCTGCACTGGGTCTTCGTTGCTGCGTACAGGCTTTCTCTGGTTGCAGAGTGCAGGTTCTAGGCGCGCAGGCTCACTGGTTGCCGTCCTTGGGCTCCAGAGCTCGGGCTCAGTAGTTGTGGAGTACAGGTTTAGTTGCTCCGTGGCGTGTGGGATCTTCCCGCAGCAGGGATCGAACTCATGTCCTCTGCATTGGCAAGTGGATTCTTAACCACTGGGCAACCAGAGACCCCCCGGAAATATTTTGAAGGAGGAGCTGCCAGGGTTTGCTGAAGGATGGGATGTAGATGTGAGAACAGTCGAGGATGACTTGAAGTGCTACAGTTGGAGGAGCTGCGAGAGCAGTTCCAGGTACAGAGATGCAGGCTCCGAGGGGAGGAGCGGGTTCTCGCTTCACTGAGTTCAGGCTGCTTCCCGCCCCGCCTGGGGCTGGGGACCAAGGCGGAAGGTTGGGTGTGAGGTGCCACTTATCCCAGGGTCAGGGGAGAGGCCTCAGCATCCTCTTGGTTCCCTCAGTGACCCCTAAGCTACCCTCTATGTGCTCCGGGGGTGCTGGACACTGCTGGCATGGTCCCTGCAGCCACAGACCCCTGGATGGTTCAGCACCTCTGAGCAACTGGCCAGCATCCCTGGCAAGTTGGCCAGCCACCTCCCTCACTCACAGACCCACACAGGCCTTTGTTCTGACCATTTATTAGGGAACCTTCTCTTAACCACTGAGGGTGGGAAGAAGGAAAGAGGCACGGAGACCTCTTCTCCCTCTCCCCCGCCCTCCCCCAGACCTCTAAGTCCTCTTGGAGCAACCACTGCTTCCCACTGCAGGCTGGGACCCCCAATGACAACAGGGTCTCTCAGTGATCCCCAGGAAGAAGAGGCATAGGAGAGGTGGACCCTGCAGTCCAGAGGCCCAGGTGGGGAGTGGACATGAAAAATGTGGATGTCGGGACAGACTCAGGACACCAGGTCCCAGGGGCCCAGGGGCCCCTAAGCTCCAGGAAGTGGTGATAACCCTACTGGCCAATGAGGATGAGTCCTCAGCTCGAGGCAGGCTGGCCCAGGAGCCTGGGCTTCTGGGGCTGGTTGGGGCCGATGTACTGGAGAGGCACGTGGGTGGGGGTGGTGATCCGATCGGTGCCGAGGTAGGGCTGGAGGGCAGGGGGCACAAACACCGAGCCGTCCTGGGGAGAGAGCAGGCCTCAGGCGAGTGCCCGGCCGGCCTTCCAAACTCCGGCCTCGGCCTCCCACTGTGGGATCCTCCTGCCGCCCCCGCCCCTCACCTTCTGCTGATAGCTCTCCAGGAGGGCAATGAGGAGACGAGGGACAGCACAGGCAGTGGCGTTCACCTGAGAGGAGGGGACGCTCAGATCCAGGCTCCAGCGGGCCCAGGGGAGGGGCTGCGGTGGTGGGTCTCCGGTGTGGGGGTGAAGGGCAGGGCGGGCAAGGATGTGGGCTCACCGTGTGTGCAAACTGCAGCTCCCCCGCCTCGGTCTGGAACATGATGTGAAGACGGCGGCTCTGGAAGTCCGTGCAGTTGGAAGCACTGGTGACCTGGGAGGGGGGGGTCCTCTTTCCCACCCTGAGGGCCCCGCCAGGCAGGGGGCTCACCTCACCGAAGCGGCCTCGGCCTGGCATCCAGGCCTCGATGTCGAACTTGCGGTAGGCCGGGAGGCCCAGCTCCTGCGTGGGCATGTCCAGGACCCTGCAGCCCCGGAGAAAGACAGGGCGAAGCGCAGCGGTGAGAGGTGTGTGAGGGGGCGGGGGGGGCACAGTGGGAGGTGATGGAAGGGGAGGAAGCCCCCAAAGAGGGAAACGGAGGTGATAAAGATATAACGGTAGCAAAGGGGACAAGATGGCCAAGTCACCTTGTGGGTGACAGCACAGATGGGCTGTCTGTGCACCATGGCTATCTTCCTTCTGTAGTAACAGCACCCCCAGATTGCTGTCATGGGTCACCAAGGAAGAAGGCCACACTCCTCAGCCTCTCCTGAAAACTACGGGTGACTGACAGGGGCAGAGGCGGTGAGGCTCGCGACCTCCGGTCACCCCTTAGAGGGACGGGGTGTGCCCTCTCCCCAACCTCCCCTTCCCACTGGATGGTAAAAGGCCGTCTTGGGGATTCCCTGGTGGCTCAGTGGTTAAGAATCCACCTGCCAATGCAAGGGACATGGGTTCGATACCTGATCCAGGAAGATCCCACATGCACATGCGCCACAACTACTGAGCCTGCGCGCTGGAGCCCGGGAGCCGCAACTACTGAGCCTGCGCGCTGGAGCCCAGGAGCCGCAACTACTGAACCCACGTATCACAGCTATGGAAGCCTGAGCACTCCAGAGCCCACGCTCTACAAGAGAAGCCACTGCAATGAGAAGCCTGCACACGGCAACTAGAGAGCAGCCCCCGCTCGCTGCAACTGGAGAGAGCCCGCACAGCAATGAAGACCCAGCACAACCAGTAATAATAATAAGTAAATAAAACAGTATTTTAAAAAGCCATCTTGGACTAGGCAGATGAGACAGCACGCTAGGGACGGGGAGTCACAGGAGGTAAGGGACCTGGTCTTGACACTGAATCGTACACAGGCTCTTATGGGTTGATAGATAGACATCCTATATACAATCCTAACAGGGGCAAAAGGGGGCAGGGGGAGAAGAGGTGGTGAGGGTTTTCGAGATGGGGGAGCCCCCAGCCAGCCTTTCCCTCCTCCCCCACCCCTCACCCTCTGTCCCCGACCCCAGACCCCACCATCCACCTCAGCCCCTGGCCCCTCCCGCACCGGAAATGCAAGCCCAGCTCTGTCAAGATCTCCATCTGAAGGGACAGGAACTCCTCCAGCAGCTCTGAGCTCTGCTCCAGCCCGGGGCCTGTCACCCCGAACATCTCCACCTGGGGCAGGGCGAGGGGCACAGGAGTCAGGAGGCACTAGGCTGTTGGGGTGTCCCCCCCACAGTCCTAGCTATGCCAACCTTGGTGAAGTGGTGTACTCGATACAGCCCCCAGGGCTCCTTCCCCGTGTCTGTTTCCGCCCGGTAGCAGGTACTGGAACAAACCATCCTGGGGGGGTGGGGTGGGTAGGTGGGGTCAGGGAGAGGACGGGGGATGTCACAGGTGAGGACAAGGCCTAAAGGAACAGGCATCACCTGATTGGCAGGTCCCTGAAGGCCACGGAGTGGTCCATGAAGTAGCCTGGGAGGAGAAGGGGACAGAAGGGGTCAGCCAGGGCCACATCCATCCATTCACAGGAAACCTTTGTGGGAATCAGAAAAGGTGTCCCTTCTGGCAGACACAACCTCATGTCAGGACACACGGCTGGATCCTCACCACTCTATTGTGCAGTAAAAACCTACACAACTGTACACGCAGACCCTGGGCATGCAGCCGTCACCCCCCAGGATGCT